GCCGTGCGAGAAATCGAACCCGCGACCATCGGACGTAAAGCGGTGTGCTAGACCGCTAGACCACCGAGGTCGTCAAATAGAAGTATTCTTTGTATACATTTATTTTTTAAACACTTCTGTCATTGCGCTCTGCTGTATTGAACATCTAAAGAGCATATCTCATCTTTTCATTTCATATTGCTATTGCTGTGGACAATTCACACAGCGCCATCTAATCCTAAGCAGAACTTGTATTATGGGTCTGATAGTCTTGTATATAAAAATATATTATGTATGTACTGGCTAAATTGTATTTAAAAGTACTCACGCATTTTTTTCATTTCATTTTATATATTTATCAGCTACTTCAGATATTAGCAATAACAAACTGACAGACAAATATTTCAAAAATTGATTTACTGATGTGAGTACCGTATTTACTTTTATATGCTGCTATAAGCTATAAGCTGTCAATTTGAAATTAAAAACAGACACTTCAATTTTAGTTATATTGTATGAATGAATAAATATATCTTATCCTAATAATATTATAAACGCCAAAGTTTGTAAGTATGGATGTTTGTTACTCTTTTACGCAAAAACTACTGAACTGATTTTGATAAAAATTTCAAGTGATATAGCTTATACATCAGAATAAGATATAAATTTCATGCGGATGAAACGGCGGCCACAGCTAGCATTTAAATAAATGAAATAACACATAACAGTGTATAATTGAAAACTTCAACATGTTTTTTTAATCCCATTAAAAATGCTCACATGTAAAATCTAATTTAAAATCACAAAGCTAGCGATACAAGAACTGTAAACATTCGCTGTTTATTAGATCCCTTCTTTGTTTGAAATAATAATGTGGATACTGCACCAGGGTACGTAGTAATAGGTTCTGTTTGCATGCATTATAGATAACCAGGCTTTTATGAACACTGGCCGTCCCTGGTCAGGTAGTAGGTGTACGCAAATATTTGTATGAGATGTGCCGTACTCATCTCACTTACCATCGAAACTCGATTTGATATTTTTAAACATCCGTGTATCACCGAGGCCTACCAAAGGCGGCAAATAATAATCAGGTCGCGGGTTCGATTCCTCGCACTGCACAAACTTTTATTTTCATGAGTATGATTGTTTGTATAGATCTGAATGGTGATCGGAAACGTAATATTATGTATTTACTAGCTGTCCCGGCGGCTTGTTTTGTCTTAAAATAAATTAAAAAATTTAGGGGTGGACTACCCCTAACATTTAGGGGGATGAAAAATAGATGTAGACCGATTCTCAGACCTACTCAATACGCTCACAAAATTTCATGAGAATCGGTCAAGCCGTTTCGGAGGAGTATGGGAACGAAAACTGTGACACGAGAATTTTATATATAAGATTATCTTTCCTATTAGTAAAATAAACTGATAATTGTAGAAATATTTAAATATAACTAAATTTATTTTAAAATATTAAGCTTATTTTTTTTCGTTCAGATACTCAATACCAGTTACGCAGCGTAGGTAGTGAAACAAAATGAAATAAAAGATTATAGTGAAATGTTAGGGTATATTTCCAAATAGAATTTTATGAAATAATATTCAATTAATAACCTGCCAATGGAATTTAATTAAATAAGAAAATTTGTCTTTGTAATAAAAGCATAGAATATTGAGTCAAAAATTTAATAAAGCGGATAAAAGGTCAGGATTTTATTATGACTTAGATATATACTATATTTTTAAAGACAGCTCACTGTAACGTTGCTTTGTTTGCTGACATCGAAGGTAATTCGTATTCAGCTCTTATACATAATAAGTAAATTTCATATCGGGTCATCGTGTCCTGACAGCGGTTATGGGAGAGGATCTGTGACTATATGCTGTACTAAAATTCATGGTTTCCAGCAATAGAAATTCTGTGTGGAAGTCTTTTTTTCTGACTACTCTAATGGGTACTCTGCAGCTGGCCTTTACAGTTTCCAAACCCGCGGAAGGACTTATAGAGCGACTGAAGGCCAACTCCCGCCTGACGGATAAAACTTTAGTTACTTTAGCTAGGGGCTCGAACCTCGGCACAGGCCGTCGTAATTTCGATCCACGTTTGAATTGGACGAGGATCGATCGGAGGGGAGATGCGATGTGAAGAAATCATGGCGAAAAAGGGAATACAGGAGATCGTTGCATTGGATACGTCATCAGAACTGGACGTTATAATATATTACGACCTCTATAATCGAACTTTAGTGTACGCTGAGGCATGCCATCTCTGTAAAACAGGTTCCGAAAAGATATGCGCATGTTCCTGCGTACCTTCTAAATATCTTATAACCAAGGTTGAAAGTTTATAAGATTAAAAAATGAGAGGTATCTACTCTAAACATCTCACAGTGCAGGTCGCCGCTACAGCAGTCGCAGTAGAATACAAATATGTTTCCCATACTGCCTTGGCGTACTGAGGTACATCCTGGAGATTTTAGTAATGTGAGTCCACGTTAAAAAAAAGTTAGCTAGACTTCGTCGAAAGTTCTCTACGTGGGTACATCTGTCTCACCCATTTCAGTTAACCGCAAAGGAGTTCCTTTGTATGCTGTGTATTGATTGAAGATTGAAATATAGCAGTAATATTACAGCATACGGAGACATGACAGCTTAGTCTTCCCCAATAACAACACCATTTGATGTCCAAGGTGCTGTTCATGTATATAGACATATCGACAGGGAATTCATCCCCACACACTGGAACCTAAGTGGTCCCGAACAGTGCGGTTTCAGAGGAGTTTCCTCCCGCGTACACTTAGATTGTGGAATGAACTTCCTGCCGAGGTTTTCCCACGAGACTACAGCATGGGGTTTTCAAGAAGGGTATATTAAGGTTTCTTAAGGGTCGGCAACGCGCAAGTGATACCCCTGGTGTTTCAGGCGTTCATAGGCTACGGTAACCATTTACCATCAGATGGGCCGTGTGCTTGATTGCCACCATAGTAGTATAAAAAAAAAAAATAGACAGCATTTACCACTTACCAATAGCTGGACCCGCGGTTTTGCAGAAATGAACTTTTTAGTATTCCATGAATTCACTGTGCGCATATCGGGTCAGTGTGTCGTGTAGCACAGACAGAAACTCCGTGGAGATCCCAGAACTTTTGACCCCGGTGTAGGTTTAAGGGACCCCTTTTCCGACGTATGTTAACACTCAACTTCACCGCTGGTATTACTATTCTTGCACAGCCAAATCTGGTAAAAGCCTGCTAGTGCAGCTTTAAATATTATATACTAGAGTATAAAACTTACTGCAGCTCTAGACAGAGCAGGATCTTCTAGAGGATTGTGGATAGATTTTATTTAGCATAGGTATTAATTAGTATAAAGTACATAGTCCGAAGAATTGCAAAACTGAAATGGCAATGGGCAGGGCACATAGCTTTTAGGACAAATGGCCGTTGGAGCAGTAAAGTCCTCGAGTGGCGACCGCGTAACGGAAGACCTCCAGCAAGGTGGACCGACGATCTGGTCAAGATCGCTGGAAGGCATTGGATGTGAGCAGCGCAGGACCGATCGTTGTGGAGATCTTTGGGGGAGGCCTTTGTTCAGCAGTGGACGTCTTCCGGGCTGAGATGATGATGATGATGATGATGACGATTATTATTATTATTATTATTATTATTAAACTGTAAAAATATAAAGTATCTCGCTAATAACTGTAATAAGTATTGGAAGATAACGAGTTGAGGTTCCGTAGTAATATGTACAAACATACAAACAAGAGACCCATCTCATAACCGTATGCATTAGATACATGAGCGGGCACTGATTGGTTTAGCACGGATCTGACGCAGCGCCGCTACTTTGTGAATATATTTATATTTTATGAGTGTCTAAATATATTAATTTGTGTTTGTGTAAATTTCTAAACTACATACCCGGCTTCGCACGTGCTTATTCTTCTTCAGATCAGCTTTTGGAATGAGCGGTAGATTAAAAAAAATGTGATGACTATTCAAAAGTGTTTAAATTAAGTTTATTTGAATAAAGGATTTTCTATTATACTTACTAAGCATGATGTAGGCCGTATAACAACACTAGCGACCCCACACGGTTTCGCACGGGAATTCAAAAAATAAGAATTATAAATACACACACATATTTAACGGCCTCAGTGGTCTAGCTGTTTAGCACACCGCTTTATATCCAATGGTCGCGGTTACTATTCCTTAGACAGTGCATTCGTAACACGATCATTAGTATGATTGTTTGTACAATATTAATCTGGGTATTTTCTATGTACATTATGTATGTATTTACATAAAAAGTTACTAAGTATTCATATCAGTTGTCTAGTACTCCATAAAATAAGCTCTGGTTAGCTTACGACTAGATGGAGTTGTATGAAATGTCCAGGTGGATATTATTATCGAAATTTGCAAGGATATATGATGAACGATGATATATTTTAATTTTAATCTTAATATAATGTTATAAACGCAAAAGTTTGCAAGTTTGGATGTTTGTTACTGTTTCACACAAAAACTACTGAACGAGTTTTGATGAAACTTTACAGTAATATGGCTTATGGATTAGAATAACATATAGGCTATACATCAGAATAATATACAGGCTATATTTTATATTGAAATTTGACGAGGGTGAAACCGCAGGCAAAGTAGATTATATTGTTATTGCAGCGTGCGAGGATTCGAGCCCGCACCCATCAGAATTAACTGTGTTAAACCACTATACCACCTATGCCGTCAATAACTATTAATAAATAAACATACTTATGTATTAAGCTACGTATCTATTCAACAGCGAGACAATCCCAACATTAGACCCATATTTGGCACAACACAAACAAGTTAACAGTCTACGCGCGTGTCTTACCATAACCACTTCTCCATATCGCATGTGTTCCCGAGTACATTATATTGCTTTTCTAATGTATTACCTAATGGATTCATATTATTATATTTAATTCCACTATCATTATGATGTGGGATCACAAATGGTGATGGTTTCGTCATGGTGCAGAACAAATCTACTGCCACGGCAATGCACATCAAGGAACAGGACATCTTCGACTATATCCGGACCAAAAGTAACCTGACGTTGTGGGGGACGCAGCTGGAGTCGAGTCACAACGCTTCGAAGCTTCTCCATTTCGCAAGTGTTCTCGAGTACCTTACATTGCTTTTGTAATGTATTACTTAATGAATTCATATTATTATGTTTAATTCCATTACCATTATCATGAGTGAGATTATAAATGATGATGGTTTTATCATGATAGAAAAGAAGCGCCTCTTCCTTTCTACCAATAATAACAAATCTAAACAATTGTGGCACAGCACCGACTGGGCCCAACTTCTTGTTGCGTGCCGCAACACCGACCACGGCAATAAACTTGTCCTGCTTACATTACACACCAAGGAACAGAACATCTTTGTGCGCCACATTGTTGCGCCGCCTTACAACTTACAGTATATACATAGCATTACTTGCTACTTAATCTGACTTTATTGGGATGACATAATGACGTGATATCAGTAGTGCTTTTTCATGCCTCCTCCTTGTTACTAAAAATAACATTTACAATAATTAAAAGAGCAACACGTCAGTTTTCTTCTCATACTTGTGATGAGACTGCTATCCGAAAGAGTGGTAGAATAAAAAATGTGTCAATTCAAAGATGGTTAAATTAAGTTTTTTGAATAAAGACTACTTCTATATTTCTATTTCATGTAGGCAACGGTTTTTACATACCATCAGGGAAGTTCCATCCATCAATCCAGTTTCATGGAAAAATCGAACTTCAGACCAAACTAATCTAAAACTTGGAGGGTCATAGCCTAGGTTTCTTGTATTTGGTAAAATAATAACAGTTTGTTTCAAGCTACAAGAAAGGGGCGAAAGAATTCTTAGTAATTAGAACCAGTATCTTCAATATAAGCTATATAGCTTGTTAGTTGATAGACAGCTGAGAGAAATTGATATTTATTAGCATTGGCTTCATTAATAGCAGCGGTACAAAGAAAGGATTTTTTAAAGGGTGATAATGGAATGATACACTCACCTTCGCTAATGGTTTACACTGTGCACCATTGGACGATCTAGAGTTTGAAGTCGTGTCTGTTAGCATATAGTAGCAAATTTACCAGGAATTAACGATGATTTCCGGTGAAGACTGCGTAGATTTTGACCTTATCAGCAATGATGTCATTAGTCCTTATTACTTATATCAATCACCTCAGGAATTCCACAATATCCTATCCCCGAGAGGTCACGGTGATATTACTACTGACCGACTAATCAAACTGAAAACTGTTATGGTTAAATAATGACTTGGTGAATTTGGAACATGATAGATCAAATGTCCATATATCATTATTAATATATATATAATGAAATGTAGCCATTATATAACTATAAACACAGGCAGCAATTTTAAAAAGGCGCAAATACACGATTCTGTAAAGATCATGTTGGTTTTTTCCATTTGCCGTGGAGATATTTGGCCCATGGAGCCCGGAAGCGAAATTGTTTTTGACAAGTGTTTCAGTGCGGCTCATCGAGGTAACTTGTGATCCAAGAGCTGGTAGTTACTTTGCCCAGAGGCTAAGTATGGCCATTCAAAGAGGCAACGCTGCCAGTATCTTGGGTACGCTGCCTCGATGTGCCGCGTTGGATTACAATGATTGTTTTTTTTGTGAATTTTTACATATGTAATTATTTATTGATGATTATTTCATTCAATAAATGAACTATGAATATAAATAATCCCACCATTCAAGTATTGAGAAATGGCTCCTTTTAAGTCGGTTAAAAATTAAATGTACATACACAATGGCTAATTATGACAATTATAAAGGTGTGTTCTTATGGAAACAGTAATTTAAATTACGTACGTATGGTCGTTTTGCGAAATTGTTACGAACAATCATTAGTCAAGCAAGTACAAATTCATACAAATTGGGCCGGGGACGCCCAACGCAGCACGTCTCTCAGTCGTTTACCGTTTGCGACTCTAAATTTGTGATGTGAGAGATATTTACACATTACGTAATCTTACTAAGTTAATGTGTATAGACGGATAAGTGTGTGTTTATTCCTCTTTCACGATAAAACTACTGAACGGATTTTATTGAAGCTTTTCATTAATATAGCTTATATATAAGAAAAAATCATTTTTTTATAATATTATATTTATATTGAAAATAATTTGTTTTTTTGTCCGCTGGTTGCGAGTACCGTAATTAACTTATGTATTGTTATATTTATAAACGTAAATGATTGTTATTGGAATATTATTATTGTTTTTAAGACTATGCTACCAAAAAGTTTGTGTATAAGTATATTTTTTATAACAATATTTTAAATTACCTTTAAATATTTCCTGTCCATGTTACAATACAACTTTAAACATTAAAATGCAGTAAAGAACAGTAAAAATTTACGTAAATTAGAAATACAATTCCTCCCTTCCTCATACACGGCGCAAAACAAAATATATGCCTTTTAACTATTTGAAACATAATTTTCCTGCCTGGTTTCATTTTGTAGCAATAAAAGAATCAAGAATAATTACAGCGGAATAACGTAAAAGTAATTGTAAGGAAAGTAATAAAAGAATTTGCACAAAAGAACGCGAAACGTTTAACACGAACATAAACTGGGAATAAAATCGTAAAGTGTAAATAGTAACACGCACGCTCGTCGAGTATTCCGCGACTGCCCATTAATATTTTAAACTTCATTTTATTTTACGACTCGAAATACAAAAAAAACGGTCGAACACGAAAATGGAAAAGTTATATTTTTAATACCTAGCGAGGATCGACGTTACGGTGTCAGAAAGGAGGTAAACAGTTAAAGTTCTAGCTTTGACTCGTTAATACCAGTCCTATCCATATCTTATATATTAAAATCTCGTGTCACAGTTTTCGTTCCCATACTCCTCCGAAACAGCTTGACCGATTCTCATGAAATTTTGTGAGCGTATTGAGTAGGTCTGAGAATCAGCCAACATCTATTTTTCATCCGGCAAAATCATTTTTTCCGGGACAGCTAGTAATACATGTTACTATATATGTATATATATGTCATATATAAATATATGAGGGCCTCGGTGGTCTAGCGGTTTTGCACCGCCTTATTGCGGATAGTCGCGGGTTTGATTCCGCGCTTGATGCATTTGTATTCATAAATACAATTGACAATTACGAAAAAAAATGTATTTTTATCAGTTGTGTGGTACCCATAACACAAGCTTTGCCTAGAGCCTTAGGACTAAATGAAAGGTATAAATCGCCCGAGGTTATTATTTATAATTTATTTCGTCACTTTTCCCAGTACGGGCCGACGTAATTTCGATCCCTATTAAAAGAGACCAAATATTGATCACAGGAGCTTCAAATTTTACACCAGTTTAATTAATGTTTTTTTTAATTATATGATTAAGAGTTATCTTAAAATGTTAACTAAATAAGACTCATATGAAGCACTCACCAATACAAAACAGCAGATGACATTGGTACAACAAAGCAACCCTTTTCATCATGTGGAAAAATCTTTACAAAGATGGCGGATGTGTGAGATTCTTACTCACTACAAAACCACACAGTGTACCTATGAGCCGCTGATGCCGAGTCATAAAGTTGCGGTCTAGCGCGACTCCGGCGACGTCATCCCGCACTGTAGATGGTGTACAGCAGACCTCATCTCATTATTAGACGACCTGTTTCGCCCTACTCAATTGTGGAAACATATGGGTACACGCGTACGCCTCCAGGGCCTTTTAATTCGGGCGTTGCCTCGCTCAAGGTGAGCACCTCGGCACCAGTGGAGGATAGAGGTAAGGTAGAGTTGGGTACGTCCCTGCCTCTAGACCGGACTCTTCTCCTGCGGCTGATGAGTGCAGCGGAAAGATCAGACTTCCTCTCCGCGATCAGACGCCGTATCCTTCCGCGAGGTAACTTCCTAGATGAAAGCTAACGCCACCTTTCGCTACTGACTACACACTGAGCTACATTCGACAGAAATCGACTATCACTATTCGAATAAATCGAAGATATACTCAACAAAGCAACACCAAAAAATATTTGAAGACGTTATCAAATAAAATATCTTTAGAATATAATATAAAATCCTTCATTCAAATAAACTTAATTTAAGTACTTTTGAATAGTCATAACAATATTTTTAATCTACCGCTCATTCGGAACTCTGTCTCATCATAAGAAGAATGAGCTAAAAACTTGTGTGTTGCTCTTTTAAATAATCGTTGTAAGTTTACATTTTTAAGTCTTTATTCATATGGGCATATCAGACTCTTATGGTATGTCAAATCTACCATCAGTTCGTAATGCTTTCGAGATGATAAGACGTGACAATAGTTAATAATTTAATTGTCTACAATATACAATATGGGATGTATATATTAATTTGACTGCAATCTATTCGTGGAGCCTGTTTGCCGCCGTGACATTTATAACAGTACGAAGGTTTCTAATTGATTAATCAGAGGAATCGATGAACCCTCCATAATTGGATTACAAGGTGTTTGCTTGACATAATTTTCCCTCACAATCTTAGTAATATAATTATTTTGATAGATTATTACAGCGTTATACAATTTTCGGGGAAGTACCTAATTAAGTTAATAGGCATTAATATTCCTTTGTTTTGTATTACAATTATGATATTAGTCACTAGCTGTGCCTGCGACTTCGTCCGCGTGGAATAGTGACTTTCGATAGCATTAAATATTTAATAATCAAACCCAAGGAACCAAAGAAAAAAGTTTCATCGTTCTAACATCATAAACGTCAAATTTCCATACAAACTGTCATCCCCTATTTCATTTTACCCCTATAAGGGTAAATTTTTGACAAAGTTTGATTGTCATATTTATTTATATTTAATCTACAACCTAAAAAATAAGATTTAAGTTTAAAACTTACGGTAATATATTCTATATTCTTTATCAGGGTCAAGACAATCTGTGTACCAAATATGATTAAACCCGTTTTAATACTTTAGGCGTTAAAGCACGACAGACTAACAGACAGAGTTACTTTCATATTTATAATATTAGTAAGGATAAGGATAAGGATAAGGATAAGGACATAAGGATTAATAAGGATTATAATTATTAAAAGCCTACT